TGAAAAATCAGGGGTTAGGATTTGCACCCGGGCGAAAGAAACCTTGCTATCGCAAGAGTAACTCCAGCTAGCTTCGCTAGCTTTCGTGATATACGCCATAGGGGAAGTCCGTTTTCATGATCAGAACAACAAAGTGCCTGATGTGAAACACAGCAGCCAATCTCGGACCTATCTATCTGTGTCTTGTGTCACCACCCACCACCATCACCACCAATCACCACCATCGTCACCACCATCACCACCACCATCACCACGATCTCCACCTTCATCAGCTCTCTGGACCCCAATGCGTCTAGATCTCTAGACTTTCTGCTGCTACACCTCTGGACTTCAAACACACTGTTTGGGGTCTCTTGCCGGGATATTTATTGTTTTTCTTCGGATGAGTTGGCCACAAATATATCCAACTATATGGATCCTGAGAAGGACTTTGTGGTGAGTTTGGGGGGTCTAACTACCTTATGAGGAGGTGGTTGGAGCCCTACAGACTGTATGAGTTGTCCGATGTCCACCAATCCACCCCCCATCCGCCCCATCTTCCTGGCCTCCTCCCTCGAGGCTCGCGCTTTTTGAAAGCCCTGACCGATGAGGACAGAAGAGGCTTCCAGAACAGCTGGCATGTAGCCAATTTCTTCTCCGTGGTGGAACACCAAACATGGCCAGTGGCTTCTCAGATCTTTGAAAAAGCATCCTCTCTCCAGTCAACATGGAAGTGGGACAACGGCCCCAAACGGAAGATGCTCTACTAAATATGGAGATAGACCATGATAGACTCCCTCCATGATTGTCGGAGGGCGAGCAAAGCCCTCCCCACAGGTGCATGTAGACATGTATATAAACCGCATTTCACTCCTTGTCGGGGAAAAAAATCGCACCTTCAGCATCCGTGGCATCCGTGAGTCTGATGGGTCCAGAAGATTGACCTACCCCATACACTCCGCGGGACTGGAGGACTGCCGCCCCACAACGACCCCCCTGGCGCCCCAACTGATCAGCCCTATACCACCCCGGCGAAAAGCCGGTCATGGGTCGTGTCCGGGTCTCTCAACCGACCTGCAAGCGGTTCCGCATCAGTGGCAGCTGCCGCTGAAGTTCCACCAGCGCCTCATGCTGCTTCTCAAGGTCCTTCGTCAGGTGATCGAAGGAAGGTGATTTCTTACCGCACCGCGCCGGGCACCACGGTGAAAACACCAAGACATGAGATCATCATTAGCCTCCCGACAGACCATGTACATTGGTTTTTACCTGCTAGCAGTCGCATGGAGGGCCTGGGTGGTTTGGTTCCGAATTTGTGGAACGCAGCCATCGTCCTGCCTTAAGCTCCAGCTCCTTTTCCGCCAGCTCTCGGTAGAGCTTGGCATGCGGCGTCGCCACCTGTGCGAGTCGGTGAAGCAATGGAAGCTGATCGTAAACGGGAGCATCTTGGAACTCCTGGTCAAAATGTGTATAATTATTGTTATAAGTATATATATATACACCAGCACCCTCCAATAGGTCTCCTCTCTAGAGGTTTTTGCCGACTTAAAAGTCGCAGGTGCTGACCTGTTGGAGGGTGCTGGTATGTATAATAGAAATTCGATCTATATTCTATTGGGTATATAATATATATATATATATATTCGGTACCAGTAACCGTGGATGACGATGGTTAGGTTGCTGGAATTTCCCAAAAAAGGATTACAATCTTGTATACCGACTGGTACAAACCCTGGCAATTGGAATCACACTACAAGAATCGTTATTGATTCTTTGATAACATTCTCTCACGCTCGTCCTCACTCTTTTGCAGCATGCGAGCTAGGCAAATCAACAAAACTGCGTCTGAGGCACCAATAGACACCTATAAGGGCCGTTCATTAGAAAGATCTTTTGAATGCCAAGAACTCACAGGTTTTGCGCAACTCAATGTTGCTTGGACCAACCCGATGTATTTCAAGAAAAAACAATATCACAGTTTGGCTGCCAATGTTGGTGTTGCAAACAAGTATGAAATAACACAAACATCTTCTATTACTTATGTACACATACCCCTCAAGCTCACAGCTACATCTGAGTTAATATATAGTGTATGTCCAATGAATCTGGTTGAAACTGTCCTTTGGGTTGTCAACAAGCAGTCGAAAGAAGCTCTAAGGCCCGTTGTGATGGCCCGTGTTCTTCCGCCAAGGCCGTCCCAAGGCACCCACCGGACCGGAAGATTGACCTATATACATTCACCCAGGGTCAGGGAAATATGCCATACATCCACACATTTGGAAACTATATAAGCAAACTCCTACTCTTCTCACCTGGGAATCTGGAGATACACAAAATATCAGTTTTCATCTGACACGAGCTGCCTAACAATCTTAACACGTTCAAATTGCTCAGCTCTGTGCAAACCAAAATCAGGCGTCCTCACTCACAGAGATTTACATCTTCTAGACCCCAGGCAACACCCCAACCCCCTTCTGGAGATATGGTTGGAGCCCCAGCGTTTGCTCATGCTTAGAAATCCCTCAAAAGGTGACCTGCAGATTCTCCACATTTCGCGACCGCCCAGGAGTCCGTTTGTTGGCCTTCGGAGGCATCGGCCCATGAAGCTTCGGCGCTGCGGATTGCTTGATCTCAATTTTTTGAGCTGCTAGGAACAAGAATGCTACTAGGGGCTCCTGGCCTTACTACTAGGAGCAAAGACGCTACTAAGGGTTCCTGGCATCGCTACTAGGAACAAGAACCATACTGTAATACTTGCTCGTGACTCCCTCAGTTTCCCCTTTTGCCAGCTGTTCACATTTAGTCGGGAAACCAAACCCCAATAAAGGTTAAAGGTTAATTATCCACATTCGTCCATATCCTTCCATGACAGTGTAGATGAATAATAGGGACCACAAACAAAAAGACTGCTTGATGGAAAGCCGTCGTTCACGCCCTGTGTCCTTCCATGGATTGATGAAGTGATATGTCCGGCGTCTTGGTGAAACAGCCAACACTTCGGCGGCAAAAGCGGCCTCTCAACTCATAGGCAAGTGCTAGGCTGCTAGAAAGCTTGAACTCTTGCAGGCTTTGTGGCTTGCTAATCACTAATCCCCTCGGACAGGAAATAAACAACCAATAATAACAACAGCGACATCATCGACATCCAGATTGATTCAACGGTGTTATAGAGTCTAACAAAGTCTATCCGCCAGGTTGGCAAACATATCCTTTTCACTGTCGTTCTGGCCTTCAACTTGTGATTAAGCCGCTAAGCCATTATCATCTTCAGTTCTGGCCCAGTTTGAAGAACCTGAGATCAACAACATCTATTTGCCAAAGTGCAACAAACATAACAAACATAATAAGAGTTTTCGTCGATCAACATAACCAACCAGGTTCTGATCGCGAAGTTGCCAAAGAAACTCCAAAAAGACTCGGATCACTGCACGGTCAAAATCCTCACTTACAAAAAGTCTTTGCAACACCTGGGCAGCCTAATATCATCATCAACCCTCTCTGCTCATGTCTGCTCTATATGTTGGGTCTTGAGTCTTGAGTGTCTAGCAGAATCTTGAGGCAGACTTTTTTGGTTGCTCAACACCTCTGTGTCCACGTGATGAGTCAGCACGGTCGCCACCCGGCTACGCACCTGGCGCGCCTTGTCGTCGCAGGCGCACCTCTGCAAGTGGAGCAAGTCCAAAGCTCAAAGGAGAAAGGGTTCCAGAGCTTTGGACCGGGTTCCTTTGGGATCTAACTGTCTTGTATCCAAGCCATCACCCAGGGAAATCCACGAGACCTGAGGTGTTCAGTCCCGATTGCAAACGGCATCTATGTCCCAACTCCACGGCCTCCACAGCCATCCAAGGAGAAACTCCATTCTCCAGGCAAGGGCTGAGAAACTCCATCTCTTCACCAGACTTTAAAGCCACCAGACTCAAGCGAATTCACCCACCTTCCACCTGGAAAAGTGAACACCTCCCTGGTTTGCTCCGAAGGAAGACCTGGCTATGAAAGATGGGAGCTATCTGGCTTTCCAGTGTAAGACCCTCAAGTAAATCAATGGTTCTTTGGGATGACCTGGCTATTAATGGTGCCCCATGACTTTTAGGGACCTGGTTTCCACCTATTGGGACGATACGCATCGATCCGCACCATGCCACGGCTGCCGTGCGTGCTGGCGATAGGGCATCTGACTGGGTGATGGCACTAGCAGACCGACGGCGGTTGACCTACCTGGTGGACAGGTCGTTGGCGCTTTGGAATGGACCGATCGGGCTCCAGGTGCACCACCCCCATCCCATCCCACCACCGGTGCCATGGCAGCCCCGGTGCGGTCGTTTCTTTTCGAAGACTGATCGCCGCATCTCCGACTCACCGTCCGACGGCATCACTTGCCAAACATGTTCACGGGGCCCGCAGCCTCCTAGGCGACGGGGCGAACCAACGACACCCGGCGTGCTTTTGGAGATCCGCAGCCAGCAAGCGCGTCGGAAAAAACACCTCCCCAGCACACTCTTTTGGAGCTGCTCCCAGCTTATCTAGCCCTTCTAGCTGGCACCGTCAGCTGAAACTGGACAATATGCCTTTAACTATTTGTTCACACAAACTTCCAGCACGAAACAAGCCAATCTTGTCAACACATAAGAGCTGGTTCTCAAACACTCACTTCGGGCCAACAAACTGTCCCTAGGTCACACTATATATATGTGTGTGTGGCAGGCCGACCTTCGATTTTAGAAGACCTGTTGCGCATCACATGGAGAAAAATACACAATAATTTAGCAACATTTAGCATCTCCAAGAGTCTAGGCGTTCTTTGATGTACCGGTTCTTCTTGGCACAAAGGTACAGTGCACAGGTTTGCTCTGTGGCCGTCATCTGTGGCCAAAGCTTTTCCCACACCTGCAGGGTGGCAACTCATGCGATCAAACGATCAAAGCGATCGGACGCTACGAACGGGGCGCTCCTGACAACGCTATCAGTGACAAGAAGCTAATGTAGACTCTTGATTGCTAAACACCCCATATGAAAAGGCTTTTCAATCTAAATGGGTGGGGTTATTAATCAAGAGCCTACATTACTAGAAACAAAGGGCATCGCTAGGAACGGAGCAAGGATGCTACTAGTGGTATCCTCCCCCATCGGGATCTCGAGAGCTCCAAGCGCGTCTCCCTGGTTGTTCCAGCTTCCATCTGGCGGGTCAAAACCCCTGACCCCCTAGTTGACGCACCGAAAATGGACAGAGTCCTCTATAGGGGATGTCAACCTCCAATGGATTGAGGGGGTATGAGGTTTTGACCCACCGCCATCTATGTCAAAAGCGCTTAGATGTCGAACGCTTACTCTGAAATCATCATGGAACTGGAAAGCCACCATCTGTTTGGTCTTCGGAACATGGTCCTCCTTTCGCCAGGCCATCACCTTCGGATCTATGATGATATATGTCAGGGAGCATCATGAGTTTCAACCTATTCCAACCTATTCCAATTACTCACCGACCTGCCGCAAAAGTGACGCGTTGGAACCCGTCTGGACAGATGGCATGAGGCGCTCCACGCACCGATTTTCACCGGATTCATGGCATGGAGCTTCCACCAAGCTTTTGACAAGTCCAAGCAAAAACCGGTCTTACACTACCCAGAATTGGTTTAAATATTATTTTTAAATCTTAGCCTTCGGGGTGAAACAAAAACAGGGTTTCCTGTAGACTTTCCCTTAAACTAATTCTGGGCTACACGGAGAAACGTCCTTCAAGGCTTACCCCACTCTAAAAACATCAAAGACAAAAAGGCCCTGAGTCCTACCTTCACTCTAGTTTTGGCACCAGTCGCTGCATGCTGCTGCGCAAACTCAATTGAAGCGCACCCGTCTAAAACTAATTGATTGCATTATGAACGGAAGAAGGAGAGATACAATGAAATCTTCTCTAGAGCGTTTGAAGATGCAGGGTTTCCAGCGGGCAACCTCTCTGTCCTATTGAAATTCCTATTTCTCCTATCTGCACCAATCCAAGCCGCAAATGCCAGACCTAGAACCTGGGGCACATGCTATGAAGTTCCTGTTGCGAAGTGTGACAAGCTAATGTTGACGGCCTATAATCCCGAGTACCTATTTAAAAACGGACCCCAATTTAAAAAAAAGCATGCCGGATCCCCTAAATTCGGTTTATATTTGGTTTTAAATTGCCGCCCTTTCAAACCGCTACTAAACTACCAACATGGTCGATTTTGGGGGTAGTTTTTTTAATTAGGTTCCCCAAAACTCCACCATGACACGCCGCGCTTACACCAGCAGGCTTTCCTTCCCTCAATGGCACGGACTCACGCAAACGCACTTGCCACCGAGGTCATGCAACACCGCATGGCACAGCGACATCACCTTTCGAAAGCTTTAGCTGTTAGTCTACTGAAGAATCACTATTCTAATGAAGGTTTTTGTAGGGGAAAAGGAAGACCCTTCGATCTGGCGGTTTTTTGCATTTTTGATATGAGTTTAATAAAGGATTTTATATAAAATTTACCTGGATTACTTTTTGGTTTTGAAACTCTTTCCAGGTGACCCTATTTTGGGCCCCCCGATTTCAGGGACCCCCTATTAGAAAAAATGCGACCGAGGTTTCCTTATTAGGGGGGGGGGGGCCCGTGTTTTTTATTAGGTGGACCGGATTATATGTTTTGAAAAACAACTATATAATATAACAAACACATTATAATGCTGTAAACCAGCACCCTCCAACAGGTCAGCACCTGCGGCTCTTAAGTCAGCAAAAGCCTCCAATTTCGCAAAACCTGTTGGAAGGTATTCTTGAATCATGAGTGCCATGTCCACCTTCCGTTCTTCATGCATTTCTCTATAATACTAGCTCAATTGCTCAACCCGTCCACCGGCTCTGCCTCGCCTGCCCCGCACCAGCAGTGCCGCGAACCTGCAAAAACCACTCCGCTGCCGCACGTCGATCAGTGCGTGCGTGTGTGTGTCCCAGAGGATTCATATATAAGCAAGGGTTTGGGGTGGTGAATGTAGGTCATAAGAAGTCATTGTTTGCCTAGCAAATGCATGCAACATGCGCATGTTTTGGTGCGTTCGATGTGGCGGGCAATGCTGTCAGCCGTCAGTTGTCAGGATGTTATCCCTTTTGGCCGCGCAAAACGGAACGGCTGGAGCTGAGGGGACTTGGAACGGAGGTCAGGACCGAACAGCACCGCTTGTGATACCCAGTGATGATGACACTTAGCGTCTTTTTCCCTGAAGCTCCCTACACGTGTCCCGTGACTTCCATCTGCAAGGTTTCGTCAACACTTCAAGCACCCGCACCCATGCTGCGCGGACTCAGAACAGGAACTCACTGGATTCCTGACGCAAAATTGCCCCTGGCCTTCTGAAGGTGCGTCATGGTCCCATCCAACTGCATCACCATCGGGCCCTTCTCGGGGTCCATGGTCACCTCCTCTTCACTTGGCCCCACTGGCACCAACACCGACCTCATCCCATCATACCTGAAACGCGTGAAACGCGCCGCCATGCAGTAAAGGCGACCTCCGGGAAAGGAGGTCACGTCACCAAACTGGGATCACGAGAAGAAACATCTAGTAGCAAAACTGAAAGCATTGTCAATTTGCAACCTGATCTCGATGTCGTCAAACCTGGTCTCCAAATGTTTCCGCCGCAAGGGCTTTGCACAAGTCTTTGATTTGGGTGCAGTGGGGTATAGAGTAGGGACATGCCCTCAAACAGCAGCACTTCCCCCACATGTGTTTATATAGACGGCGTTAAAGGCAGCGGCGATTTCTAGTCGAGACCTCCAGAAAAGCATCGTATATCATCCTATAGTCATCCTTTACCAAAGGTGCATGGTTCTAGATTTGAAGGTCCACGATTGGGTTGCGGGTTCATAAGTCACATGAGCCTACCTGGGCCCAACTTCAAGCACCCTAGAAAATAGGTCACCCTATAAACAAAAGGTGTTTGTACCATCTTGTAACCCATGTCCTGCGGTACATTGAGACTCCTGATACTTATGGCTTTGGCCAAACACGCCGGGCCACTTCCATCTCGAACCCTCAGTTCCGCCCAACAGGGAGATATTGCAAAGGGGTAGCATGACATCACCAACCAAATTCATCGGCTGACGGTCTCCAGGTCGTACCCGGCCGTCTGGGCCTACCCGGTCAGGCCGGACCAGGTGGGCTGAACGACCACCAAGATCTGCATCATCCCTCGAGCAAGTCTTGCCAAGCTGCAGGTTCGACTTGGAAAAGCCCGTAGGCTCATGAGGAACAATCGACATGGCGGCCTGAAACTTTCATCAGTCGACCAGTCAGACTGCTGTTGAGCCACCATGAGCCAAAACAACACAAGCCACACGTCCATGGGTGAATTCTTCAGGGTCATCCATGGTCGTCCACTGGAATAAACCACACCTGAGATGGAAAAGTCGGACACTGACTGGGGCTGTGAATGGAGCCATGGGTCCGGGTGGTTCCGGGTGGTTTTCAGTTGGGTTTGCGTCCTCCAAGTCCCTGCCGATCGGAGAGCAAGTCCCAGGTCCCCTGGTGATCAAAGCAATCGGAGAATGACTAGTCTGCGGCCCGTTACGACGGCCTTCACTGGCTTGCCTTGCCTCGTGGCATGGAAGATTACATGGTTTCAACATCTGAAGTTGTTCGTTCGCATGGAAATGACGAGCCATTGTACACCTTCAACAAATGTGCCCAAAACACAGCCCATGCACGAGACAAACGCACTCTCTCTCTCTCTCTCGTGCACACGCACTCTTTGGTTTGTCCAATCGTTTCTTAATCACACCTGCTAAGAACTTGTGAAGGCGGAGAACCAACCTTTTTTAACTGGCAACCCTGGCAAAATACCACCTGGACATCCGTTCAACTTCATAAATGCCGGTCTTGTCTGCAATAGACTAGTTGTTCCAAACCTGTTGGGCCTAGCTGAAAGCTTCACGCAGCAGCTGATTTCATCACCCCACTTTTTGTGACACGTCAGGCTGCGCATGGCTGCGCCACTTGCAGTTCTTGTGCCGCCTTGCTGGCATCACCTCCACTGCGACGACCACCCCAAGTAACGATGGAGCCATCGTACCTGGAGTGGAGCTATCGCTGCAAGGTTTCGAACGTCCTCAGATCCAAACAGTTCCCAGAACAAACGTTGGTCACCAGCGGCTCCAAAAACGACCAAAGCGTTGACCTAGAAACCCTGGTTCCTGATATGTAATTATATTACATTATATTACATTATTTTACATCATACTACATGATTGGAGGGCTTTCTGGAATTTCCAGGTTCCCGTGACGCATAGATGATTTGGGGCCCCTCACAATCAGGTCTTTTGCTTTTTGGCACTCTGCCCCTCAAAGCCTCAAATCTCCAAAGGACACTTTGGCATAGGAATTTGCTACCTGGAAACCTCTGTTCGCACATGAAAGGCCACTCTTCCCGGAAGTAATTCTCCACTCCATGTAATTACTGACTGTCCGGAGGGTAGCTAGTAGATCCTCAGGCAAGGTTCAACTTGTTTGAGTGTCACCTTCTGTGTCGTGTTTGTGTCAGGCTCTGATCATGTGAATGCTTCTGGAGTTGTTCAATGCACTTTCTGATCTCGAGAACCGGCCTGGGTGGGATCCTTCAACCTGACATCGGCATCGGTCAGCCCTTTCTGCTCAGTGTCACTCACGTGTACCACTTGGAAGTGATCATACGCCGAAGTATCAATGTATTCTCTCTCTCGCGATGTATGTATGTATGTATGCATGCATGTATGTATGTATGCATGTATGTACCCAGCATTGTTGGGGCAATTCCCTTCCACAGCGACACAGCGACTCGTACAGATCGCACGGGCCTTCGCCAAAGGTGCAGGACGAGAGATTGATTCATGGCGGCTTTGCGCATGTGACTTTTGAGATCTTTACTTGGGGTTCATTTGGTTGCTTTGACCTGTGGTCGAGCAATACGCTCTATCCACAATCAATCACGTTTCACTGTGGATTCGAGAGCGCGAGTGGTCGTATTGGATTGTATTGGGTCTATTTGAGTCTATTTATTACCCGGGCCCAGTGGATGATGAAGCTTAGGTTGCAGGCCTTCAGTGAATATTGTTTACTGACTATTTTTACAAGTAAAAATAGGACACACCCAATAATATATATATATAATATAATAAATATATATATATTGTAATTATGCGATATACATGTTACTTGTCACACTATATATTGATTTCACAACCCTCACCACCCCAGGCTGGCGCACTTCACGGCCATGAACGCGTTGCAGGTGGAGTAAACTTGATGGACATCTTCTTTAAGGCATTCTGCAACCGCCGAGCCTTGGCAAAACAAAGAAGAACAAAACTACGTATTATACATATCTGGACTCTCCAAAGTACTCCAGAAAATGGGAGTGACATGACCTAAAACAAACCCAAACACTCCATGTATGCCATATATGCCTACATTGACCCCCCAAACCACCCCAATGTAGGCATATATGGCAGTCCCATGGAGCGTCTGGGAAATGTATCTTTACTCATCTGAACCGAGGTTTGAACTGAGACTCCAGGCGGTTGTCGCGTGTGCATCGTACACATGTTTCGGACGGTCGTCGCATCGTTTCTGGTCGTCGCGTCGATGACATGCCGGACACACTCTGTGCGGTGCCACCAGGGTGTTCTGGAGGGCGGTTCTGTCGAGGCTCTGTTCCATACCCCACACCTCCATGTTGTCTGGACATATCTACTAATATATATGGAATCGATGTTTCAACACCCTTTAATTCGGTGCAAATAGGCTACCGGCTAGACCGACGGCTGGAAAGTCCAAAGGAGGCGGTGTTGATCCAACAAGCGCGCTTGATCCAACAAGCAAGGCTTGAAGGTCCATGAAGGTCCAGAATTTCCCTTGATCATTAAACATCTGGTGGTTGATTGGTGTCTTTTTTTGGACGACTCAGTCGGCGCTCGCGCCAGGCAGCAGTTGCCACCTGAATCTTGGACACCCCAAGTGACCTCGGGCGAGTCTCCAAGGAGCGGTGAATGCAGTGGGTTTTTGAACCAATGCACAGGTCTACATCATTATATTAACATATGAAACCCTATGTGAATTTATCAGGTGACGTTGTAAATGGCATATCTAAGACGGAAGACTTCAAAGGGCTTGAAGTTTCGTAGATGAACCCTTTCACAAGTATGTCACTGTGCATCACATGGCAACGACGCAACGACCGTTCGGACCACGTGAAACCACCGAGCACCGACGTGTGATCTGGTACGTCCAGGCGAACACCGGCGAGGAAAAGCCTGACAGGACAACAAAAAAGCGATGCATCAATGGTCAATACCATTGCCAACAAAATACTACTACTGCCACTGCAACTACGTACTACAACAGCAACACCTATGACCACCACTACCACTGCTCCCACTCCTACCCCCATTCCTCCTCCTAGTCGTGCTGCTCCCGCTGCTCCCAGTTCATCCCACCGTGCTGCCACCCCTCCGCCAGCCGCCACCGCAGCAAAGGCATTGTCCGTGGCACAAAGCTGTCGAACCTGGACGAGGCGCTGCTGCACCGCGCTACCTCACAGGCAGTGAGCCCGTGCCGGGGCCCCAAAGATGGTTCAAAAAACTCTGAAAGACATGATCTGATATTGGGGAACCCGAAAGAGATCTTTTTGGACTTTACCTTTGGAATAAGTATAGTCTTTTAGACTTCGACTTTCGACTGGGCTCCATGTGACTGAAAAGCCCTCCAATCGATGAGTGTTTCCTGGTGAGATGTGTTTTGTGTTTCCCGTGTTCACCGCCTGTGATCGGGTTCAAAAACAGCGTCCTGGCCCCCTTGGCATGTATAGTACAATATATTGTTATATTATATATATATATATACCAGGACCCTCGGGCTCAACAAACCTCAACTAAAGACCTGATGGAGGGTACTGGTATGTGTGTGTATGTATGTAGGTATGTATGTACGTACGTAGGTAGGTAGTGTATTGTATTGTATTGTAGGTAATGTAACCATATGCTATGTCGTGTTGTGTTACATCATGTTATATATGCAAAATGTAATGCAATCTCATCTAATCTATGTATGCTATGCTATGCTATGCTATGGAATGGAATGTATGTATGTACATACCAGCACCTTCCAACATGTCTCCTCTGGATACTTTAGTAAACTCAAACGTCGCAAGCGGTGACCTGCTGGAGGGTCCAAATATATATATATATGATATATGATTAGGTGTATGATAATTTCTTTAAATGTATGCATGAATGACCTCGTGTCAAACAACAATGTAGGTACACACACCGCACATGGGTGGATGCTTGATGAAAGAGAAACGCACACAAGAATGAGTGAAGAGGTGGGGAGAACATGAGAAGACTCACTGGCACAATTGCCAAAATTTACACCCACCTCCATTTACGTAAGGTTTTTTGAATCTTGAAGGGTCACCCCATATTTTCAAGCTTCAAATCACAAAGCCAGGTGCTAAAGATTACTCAAGACTAATACATGGTAGTGGAATCAGGAACCTGTTGATGCTAACACCAAACCTCCTGCCTCGCATCTTGTTTGGAAAACCACTCGGGAAGACCCAAGAGCCAGGAATCTCAATCGGGATACCACACCGATGTTCCAAATTTAAGCAAATGTCTCTCTCACTCTTAGCTGACTCTAGCTTCTAGTGCTCTCTCTATCTCTCCTCAGCCATTCCAGTGCCATCCAGTTAGTTCCACTTCTTGGTCACCCTATACACTTACTTCCCTCCACCGACCCGCTTCCCACCGCACCTCCCCAAGATAGAAACAAGATGAAACAAGACACCCAAACACTCCTGCACGCAGGACCCAGGGGAGTTGGGTGCCTCAAAAAACCACCACATGGGTCTCACAAAACCACCACATGGGTGTCTCCTGGCCTCATTCTTCCACCCCTACCCTCACCGTCTCTGTCGCAAATACCGTCCGGTCCCGCCGCGGCACTGTCGCCCCCGCGGTTCCGATGGCCCCAGGTGATCACGTGCCCGGTGGTGTGGCAGGCCGCGAAGGCGAGACAGGTGGACTGGACCTGCTGGAAGGGACCCCGCCAGAGCCTCGGCGCCACGACCCCGACCGATGGCCTATAGGAGCTTCTTGTTCCTAGGAATGGGAATGGCCTCCAACCCAATAGCAATGGCCTCTTCCTAGTAGCTTCTTGTTCCTAGTAGGCGTTCGTATTCTTCAACTATTAAACTGAATATGACATAGGAAGTCTCGGAAGAGCACTGTGTAATGGGGAACATGGACTATAATGAAGCCTGGAGCGTATTTTGGGGTGGGGGCTGCGGCTGGGCAGTCTCTTCATGGGTAGAGTCCGGGGCAAGATTGAAGTGATCTATGGTGTTTTTTCTCTCTCCTGGATGTGGATGTGCTGGAAGAATCAGTATAAGCGGCTGATTGGCGTTTGGCGTTGTCCTGGCCAAATTGAGCTTTTGGGCATCGATGTTCATTTGCTGAAGTCAACGTAGATGTGTAGCAGGGGCAGTGTGGGATTGGTGCTCAAGCCCTGTCAGCCAGCAGTTCAATCATCCATCCACACTTGTTTGCAGTTTCCAATTTTCTCTCTCATTCTGATCTTCCAGCAAAGCATTGCGGCAACCTGCTACAGTTGCAAGTACGACCTGAACTGAAATAGGAGCAAAATGCGACATCTCCTCCCCAGTTCAGTTCATTGCAGGCATTGCAGGCAGTTCAGTTCTCCTCCCAAGTGTCCTCCCCAGTCTTCCAAAGCCCAGACACTGTTCGATCTCGGATCCTGTGCCAGGCTGCATGGGGAGAACGCGACCAGATCGACCATTCGCATGCGACCAGCTGCATGGACGATGACCAAAGAAGGATTTGTCGTTCCCCTCCCTGAAACAATCATGGAAGTGGAAAAACCACCGGTTTTGTAGAGGAAACAGTCTTCCAAGAGGCCATGCCATCCACTTCCATGTTCGTTGGACGGAGGGTATCCACTTAATTACGTATCCGACAGGTGCTTAGTAGGGAATGAGCCCCCAATAAAGAT